CCCTATAGGAAAAGTTAGAAAATACATTTTCTACTGAGTGTATGCACATAGTACTTTTCTCTGACCCCTCTCCCCTTCAGCTGCCTCCTGGGAATGCAGAGGTCTTCTTTAACAGTACACACTGCACATGACAACACATGGTGTCCAAATCGGACTTTTGGATCATGTTTGGCACCAAATCAGAATCAGTGTATAGAGGGAGAACTCAGGGAAAAGCTTTGCATTGCCAAAACATTTCCCTTCCAGTATCCTGGTCGTTGCCCCCCCACCCCTTCTGCCCAACTGCCTGATGTCTAGAGCTATGAAACCCCAAAGTGAAGTGGATGTGATTGGGATCCCAGCTGCCCACCTCAGGGGAACTAATAGGCAGAAATGGAGGCAGAATAATAATAGCAAAACACTAATGCACTGCTTACTGTGTGCCAAGTACCGTTCTTGGTAATTTATGTAATGTTCACATGCTAGACTTGCTTAATATAGCAACCCTGGTAGGAATGTTACTAGCTTGCTTAACAGATAAGGAAATGGAGACACAAAGGGGTTAGGACCCCTCACAGAGCTGGTGAAGATCCCTGCTTCCTGTCCTCAGCCTGTTGAGAGCTCAGGCCACCTCTCCTGCCTTTCTTTACTTAGTCCTGTACTTCAGATTAGCACTTTCTTGATTTCTCTCTCTCTAGGGTTTCTGTAACTTACATTTGTCTATAAATGTCTTTGGCAGTTCGTGACTCTGCCCTATGTTAGCCAGCTTGCCTGACCAAAATGAAGGTCTTGCTTTCATGTCCTCAACTAATTTTTATATCCAGTGAAGGAGTTCTGGTAAACATGCGACTAGGATGTATAGGGAGATCCTAGGGATCGCAAATGAAACAAAGTAAAATGGAACACCACTCAGTATATCTAATTTTTAAAATTGTTATTTATGCCTTATTTCTCCAACCTAACCAAGTGTCTAAAGGATAAAAACTAATTTCATTTAAATTATTCGTCTTCCTGAGAAATTCTTTTTTTTATTATTTTTTAAATAAATAATTTATTGAGAATTTCACTCATGCATATAAGGTGCTTTGATCAAATCCATGCCCACTCCCTCCTCTCCTGGGAAATTCTTAATATGTTTCTTTAAGAATTAAAAATACTCTTAATTCATTTCCAGTTTATTTCATCTGGAAAAGAGAGGCTTGCATGCAGCTCCCTTCCCTCTCGGTTACTTTAGGAGATGGATCTCTGTGAGACAGAGTTTAAATAGTGAAGTAGCAGAGTAGCAGGGGGACACTCAGAAATACCCCTTTCCCTATAGGAAAAAGTTAGAAAATACATTTTCTCTTGAGTGAAGGAAGTGAGGGGAGGGAGGGATTAAAAGGCATCAAATTATATTTTACCCTTTAGAAACTTGGGTTGTGGAGATAAGGCATAAATGTGAAAAGAGTTAATAATAATAAAAAATGTACTCAGGGTGGATGTAGTAGCTCATGCCTTTAATCCCAGTGCTCCAGAGGCAGGTCTGGTCTACACAGTTCCAGGCCATCAGGGGCTACAGAGAGCCCCTGTCTCAAAAAACAAAAACAAAAAACAACCCCAACCCCCCCCCAAAACCTATGTAAGGTTCTTTGGTATTTTTTGTTTTGAGATAAAGTTTCTCTATGTCCTAGACTAGCCTGGAATTGGGGATCCTCCTGACTCAGCCTCTCTACTACTGGGATTACAGGTATGTGCCACCACATTTAGCACTCTATATATTTTCTGAAGCGTCTTACAGGATGTTTCCTGAATGAGATTTGTTTTGACAGAAGAGGTAAGCTCTTTGAGCAGGGTAGATTGGCTTCTTGACACAGAAGTGTTCAGAATGTTTGGGATTCCCAGCACTGGTTCATTGTACTCCACCAAGTCACCCCCTTGTAGCAGGTGAAGAATTTGTGATTGTGGAAGTATGGTATGAACCAGCTTTCTGATGGCAAGTAAGCAACTCATTCTTACCTGAGGAAGGCAGAAAGAGCAGGACTTGCATTGAGTGCTCTGAGTTCAGGGACTCACACACACAGACTTGAGCCTTGGTACTGTTAGAGCAGGGAGCTGATGCATGGACAGAAACCTAACCTATGATCTGAGTCCAGCTTCAGGTCAGTGTGTCCTCCCAGTCCCCAGCTGTGGCTTCCCTGGTTTGCAGTGATGAGTTCCTTTGTGATAACCAACATTCAGAGGCTTTTTTCGTTAGATGCTCACGTGGCTCTGTGAGGAGCTTGGCTAGTCAGATCTCACTGCCTCTCCTTATTCACAGAACAGGCTCAGAAAGATAGTGACCTCTCCAAGGCTGTGTACCAGAATGGGCAAGTTCCAGACCACGGCCCACGCTTTTCCTGGTTGTAATCCTGCAACTACTTGGTGCCTCTGTTCTAGTAAATTTAAGAACTCTTTCTGATTTTTTTTTCTACACTTTTAAATCTGTGATTTTTCTTTCTTGGGCCTCTGCGCCCATGTCATTGTAGGGACAACAGTTTCACAATCCTGGCTGATTATTCTGAAAACCTGTGCTCCTGATCTCTTTTGGATTTTGCATACTTAGAGCTGTCTTCAGTATTTTGCCTATTTGGGCACTGTGACCTGTACAGTGGGTGAATTTCTCTTGACACCAAAGGATCTAGCAGTGTATCTGGCTCTGGAAAACAGGATGCTGGTTGCCCAGCTGGCTATCTCTTTGCACCCCTCATCCCCTGCAACATGCAGGCAGAGTTTGAGTGTGCTTTTTCTCCCATGGTATTCTTTTTACTTTCATTCTACACTGTGATGGAGACTGGAAGCAAATTGAATTGTACCTATTTTCTGTGTCTGCCCTCTTATACCTCTCCTCCCTTCACTACTAACCTCAACTTTCAGATTGTGAGTCTTTTATTTGGTCTTGAAATTCAACACAGTGTTTGGCTTATAGTAGAAGTTCAGTTGTTAGACTGAATTACATACACATGAAATTTGCCAGTACCTCTTCTCTTAGCATAGGAAAGAAAACACAATAAGCTGCCCTGCCATCTGTGCAGGACTTAATGTAGTGCCTTCATAATACCACAAGATGGCAGTGTGACCTAATGGGGACCTTCGTTCCTGACCTAATGGCTCCAGTACACTTGCGCGAGATTGCTATTTAGTTGTTGATTCTTTGTGGACTCCTGACTGGGGGAATTGCTTCTTTGAAGTCATTCTGAGACGTTTCAGCCTGTAGCCTTTTCTTAAAAGCTTGGTGATAAGGTGGAAAGACTTGTAGTTTGGAGTCTGTTAGGCTGTCTTCCCAGAAACAACCTTGGGCAGACTACTTCTTTAAGTTTGTTTTCCTAACTTGTAAAATGGTAATTGTTGTACTGTTAGAAAAGGTCCAGCACAGCATGGGCCATAGCATAAAAGCATGCTAGTTTCATTGTTGGAAATTCCTGTGCTTGACTTTGGCGGTACCTTAGCTGATATTCACCAAGCCTTACACACACTCCACTCAGTCCTCCCTGCTGCGTCATCTGCTTACCCAGCTCTACTTCATCTTAGTCAGCCAGTACCCAATCCTCATGGAGGCCCATGCCTGGATACCTTCCCACGGCCTGTCTATATGCTTTCTGATTTGCCAGATTCGCTGACAGCCCAGCCCTCAAAATGGCCAAAGCAGCTGGATTGTATGATCTTACTTCTCATACAAATCTGTGAGAAGAAGTCTGTGAGGGTCTATGTCTTAACGACATTGGCATCTGTACCATACCCTTAATAAATATGGCAGTCTAATAAAAATGATAGCCATTACTACTAAGCACGTCAGTGTTTTGCAGAAATATTTTATTTGACCCTCAGCATATCTGTGAAAAAAAGCTGATACTCCATTTTTTAAAGCAGAAGTGTGTAGGATCCAAACAAAGGAACTCTACTGAAAGAGTTTAAGCAGTCAGGAAATAATAACAATAATTAATACTAATAATTGCAATTTTTTGGAGACAGGGTCTCATATAACCCAGGCTTGCCTCAGACCCAGTATGTAGCCAAGGCTGGTATTGAACTCCAGTACTCCTTCCTCAGTCTCCTAAGTGCCGAGATTACAGGTATGGATCTCTATATCTGGCAGGAAATTATTGTTTTACCAAAAGGAAAGCAGGAGGGATACTTGGTGATGTCACAAGGATCCAGGTAGCTGCTATCTCTCACTTGCTTTCCCTAGTGTCCTCTTAGGCCAGCTTCCTACCATGGTGACAGCAGGCTCCCAGGTGCCAGATACAGGAGAGACAATGTAGGTTCCTGTGTTCTTTTATGGCAACCTCTCAGTAGATTGCCTGCAGAGTTCTGGGCCATTTGGGTTGAGGCTTCCTCCTAAGGAATGAAACCAATGAGCTGACTTAGACTAATCAGAATTCATCCTTTAAGGCTGGTGAGGGCCCAGCTTTACTTCATACTCCTGGACACATGACCCAGGGAAAAAGAGGGAATATGAATGAGGCTCACTGAATTGTGAAGTACGCTTAAGCCTACAAATTGGGTAAGCACAGGATTGAGACCAACACCCGGCTGACTCCAGAGACCATCTGCTTGTTGGCTGAGTGAAGTGAATCATAGGTAGAGAGTATTTGCTATGGATCTGCTGTGTGGGTTTTTCTATTCCTGTTGGTTCTGGAACCTCTCCTTTCTTAGCCCCCTTTCCATTTTTTTTCTGGTTCTTTTTAGTCTGTCCTCATACCCCTGTACTATCCTCCAATACGTGGCTGCTGCCTGGCTTCATGCTTTTAGCTGGTGGAAGGCCTTATTGACTATTGGAATGAGGCCTTGCTGTTCAGGCTCTGGAGGGATCATGTTGAGGTTTTGTGTGGTGCAGAGTCCTCTCAGGATCCCAGGGTCAGAAGGACCAGGGAAGTTGCCATGGAGGTGTCCTGAGACCATGGGACAGGACATTTGTGCTATCAATGGGAAAGCTGGCACATGGCACAGGAAGTATAAGCCATCCCCTGAAGACTTGTATAACTCAGCAAGTGCTGGTCTTGCAGATGCTCCAGGACTGCCCCAAGGCACGCAGGGAGGTGGAGCTGCACTGGAGGGCCTCCCAGTGTCCACACATTGTGCACATCGTGGATGTCTATGAGAACCTGTATGCGGGGAGGAAGTGCTTGCTGATTGTCATGGAGTGGTAAGCAGCCTGCTGGTGTTCTACCCAGCCTGTCCTCATGCCATGCTCAGGCGCCTCTGCCTCTGGGGATAGCCCACTGTGGATCTTGAAGCTTAGGATGTCAGTACTTTCTTTTGTCTTTCTTTTGTCTTTCAATGTCTTTTGGGGCAGTAAAGGGGTGGGGGCTGTTAATTTCCTGTCTTTTTACTGTGGCTCTTTTTCAGTCTTGATGGTGGAGAGCTCTTTAGCCGAATCCAAGACCGAGGAGACCAAGCATTCACAGAAAGAGGTAGAGAGGGTCTGTTGTGGGATAGGCTTGGGTGGACAGGGCAGAAGCCAACTGTGGGACTTCTGTAAGGCTTGCTCACAGGAGAGCCTGAGGCTGCTGCCTCCTTAGACTTACTGCCAGGGATGTCTGCCTCAGCTGATGGTCAGCTCTTGGCTTCTTAACTTCCCTGGTAAGTGGTGGGTATGAGACTCAGTTTGCATGGGGAGTAGTGTTGGTTGGTGTATGAAGCTTTCAGACCTACATCTCATGATTTTCTTCTCTGCAGAAGCATCAGAAATCATGAAGAGCATTGGGGAGGCCATCCAGTATTTACATTCGATCAATATTGCTCATCGAGATGTTAAGGTACCAGCTGTTTGTACCCCATGATCTGTGAGAATGGGACAGTGGTGATCCAAGGAGGGCTGTCAGAGTCTCCCTGTACCCTAATTTCCTGGTTCCTCAGGCAGGAAGGATCTGTGAGCCATTCTATGGTCTATGGATGGGGTCCAACTCTTTCCATCTGTGTTTAAACCACAAACTCAGTAGTGAAGCCTTCTCTGGCCACACTCAGCCCTATGGTTCTCCTCACCAGTACCTCACTGTCCCACTGAACTTTCTGACCTAGTAGTGTTCCCCACAGTTCGATATGTTAGCCTCTGGTTTCTAGACCCTCTACAAGCTTGGTGAAACAGACTAGTCACACATAGCTGTTATCCTCATGGTGTACAGTGCAGAAGGACTGGAAAATGACTGGTTGGGCAGATGAAATAAAAGCTTGATATCATGCCCCTCTACCCCCCACCACCGTGCTTCTCATAGCATCTCAGCAGGGTTGTTACTTACTCATCTGTCTTTCTACAGCCCGAGAACCTTTTATACACTTCCAAAAGGCCCAATGCCATTCTGAAACTCACAGATTTTGGTTTTGCCAAGGAAACCACCAGCCACAACTCTTTGACCACTCCTTGTTATACACCGTATTATGTAGGTGAGTCCATAGGAGGCCCAAGGACTGAGTCTTTACTCAGGATGTATCTCAACCCCTTGTTTTGATGGTCTCAGGGGACTATAGATCTAGGGAGTGGGTCCTTACCACCCTGTCTGGTACTGGTTCTGACAGGACTCAATCATAAGTGGGCTTATGTCAGAATTTGGTGTGTCTGTGTGTTCTTCCTGAGAAGGGCCATAGTTTCCATCACATTCTCGGTGGAGTCTGGGACCCACATTTGGCTCAAATCGTAGAATAAACTCACAAAGCATGTGTGTGAAGTTAATTGGACAGTATGTATCTGAAAGCTTTTAGCAGTTCAGTTATGTTTTGTCCTAAGAGTCTAGCTGTAGGGTTCCTTCTGGGGAAGGGTGTTATGTTCAACCCTCTAGCTGTCCCATTGTGATGTGCTGAAGGGTTGGGAAATGGGGTAGGTCACAAGTTCTAAGAGCCAGGACAACCCACAGTGATCTTTGGTTTGCAGCTCCTGAAGTGCTGGGCCCAGAGAAGTATGACAAGTCCTGTGACATGTGGTCCTTAGGTGTCATCATGTACATTCTGTAAGTGTGCTGGGGAGTGGGCTAGGGGGTCTGAGCTTCAGCAGGTAGTGAGCTGGGAAAGCTTGTACGTCTTCAAGGATAGGAGGAAGAGGCAGATGTTAGCATTCCTTCTTTGTGTGGATTCCCTGGGAATCCCCTGTATCCCCGCTTCTCTCAGTGTTTAGTGGGTCTGGTTGCTAAGTGGCTATAGAAACTAGCTAATAGGCTAGAATGTGTGTTAACTTCCTTGGCATGTTAGGTTCCTGGGCCCTGTTCTTACTTTGTGTGCTGTGCCTATATTAAATTAACAGTACCCTATTTCTTTCTGACCATTACAAGAAGAACCTGTTTCTCACCCTATTCTGGTGCAGGGTTTCTAAATAACACCTGCTTTGCCCTTCTCTTCCTGTAGACTGTGTGGGTATCCCCCCTTCTATTCCAATCATGGTCTTGCCATCTCTCCGGGCATGAAGACTCGTATTCGAATGGGCCAGTATGAATTTCCTAATCCAGAGTGGTCAGAAGTATCAGAGGAAGGTAGGAATTCAACCTTTGGGGAGAAGGGGAAAAGAGGGGGGAGGATGGGGGAGGGGAAAGGGAAGGGGGGGAGGGGGAGGGAGAGAGGGAAGGGGAGAAAGGGAGAGAGGGGGAGAGAGAGGGAGGAAGGAGAGAGAAAAAGGGAGAATGAGAGAGGGAGAGAGGAGAGGGAGAGAGAGGAGAGAGAGGGAGAGTGAGGAGAGAGAGCAAAAGAGAGGAGAGAGGGAAAGAGAGGAGAGAGGGAGAGAGAGGAGAGAGGGAGAGAGGAGAGGAGAGAGAGGGAGGGAGGAGAGAGAGAGAGAGAGAGAGAGAGAGAGAGAGAGAGAGAACATGCACATGTAGGTATAGGTATCACCCATGAGTAGTGGAACTGGGGGCTTGCACCTATGCCCTCATCTGCTGAGTGTGTCTTGCTTGTATCAAGTGCCTGAGGCAGGTTCAGAGTTTTGGAGCTGTGTAGGGCTTGTCTGGTGGTGTAGCATGATGGTCCTTGGAGGCACTACTCCTTCAACAGCATGCCTCCATGTAGCCTTCTTTTGAACCTGATTACCCCACAAAATCCAGAAAGGAGCAGGGCAAGGAATAACTCCTGAGCTGTCCCTGTCTTCTGACCTGTCTCTGTCTCCTGCCCCACCTCACAGTGAAGATGCTTATCCGGAACTTGCTGAAAACAGAACCCACTCAGAGAATGACCATCACAGAATTCATGAACCATCCCTGGATCATGGTAAGCTTGGTGGGCTGGGGACACCTGGGTTCAAGGGGATTGTCTTTAAGAGTGGGGTCTTCCTAGGACTTTATTGCCTCAGACTTTCACTTGATCCCATTTCTCTCTCCTCAGCAATCTACAAAGGTCCCTCAGACTCCACTGCACACCAGCCGGGTCCTGAAGGAGGACAAGGAGCGGTGGGAGGATGTCAAGGTAAGGGACACTACTGGGTAAGAGGGTTCAGGGAGGCAGCTTAGAGAAGTGTCCAGCATGAGTATTGGCCCTGACTAGGGACAGTTTGGGTCTGTGTTCTTCACACCAGTATCTCTATAACAACTAAATGGTGACTGTGAACCATTTCCTTTACCAGATTGTAGTAGAGGTTCTGTGTTCTTTCCCAAGTTCTGCCATGCCTGTTTCCTATAACCCTTCTGGGCAACCTTTTAGCATTTCCTCATTTTTTCAGATGAGGGCACTGAAGCCCCAAGACAGGGAGGACCTGTTACAGGTCACATAGAGCTTTGATGGCTGGCCCAGGAATCTTTCACCTTTGTGGGCTTGTCAGAGGGTTTCTGGGAGAGTAACTACACAGTGGCCACTTTGTGCTGACCCAGTGCTGGGGCGGGATACTCCAGTGTGGTAGCAGCGTAGACTCAACTGGCCTATCGCCCTTCTCTCCCTGTGCCCACTGTGCCATCTTTCTGCCCTGCCTGTGCCTCTCATTGCTTATGTCTCTCTTCTGCCCTTTCTCTGCTGTGTAATACCCACACCATCCCCCAGGAGGAGATGACCAGTGCCTTGGCCACGATGCGGGTTGACTATGAACAGATCAAGATAAAGAAGATCGAAGATGCGTCCAACCCTTTGCTTCTGAAGAGGCGGAAGAAAGCTCGGGCTGTGGAGGCTGCAGCCCTTGCCCACTGAGCTGCTGCACCTCCCACTCCATTGGAGGACAAGCAATAATTGTACATGAATATATTTTTTAAATGAAGAGACACAAACTGCCCACTTCTGCCTTCTGTTCTCCATGGCTACATGGAGCCCAGAAAATCCTTCTACGGTTGAATTCTGCCTTTGACTCTGGCCTGTCCAGAGAGGGAGGGCAGGAAGCTGTGCAGAGGAGAGGGCAAGGTGCTCTTGAACCTGTACTCCTTTGCAATTTTATCCATAATTTGACTTAGAATTTTTATGGAATCTCTTTTATTATCCTTTTCCCCACTCCTCATCCTTTTCCTCAGGCCCCTTCCCATCTGGATAGTGCAAAGGTTGGGGTTTATCCAAGGGTCTTGTGGAAGTTGTTTCAGGGAGTGTTCCTGTGTTGTACCATCTCTCTTTCCTGGCCTTCTTACTGGCTTTTGCATCTGGGAGCTCCAGGCTCCAGGGAGGCAAGACAGGGTTAGTAGTAGGTGCCACCCACCTCCTGCTGGAGCCCTCAGACATAGTCATTGTACACAACAGATAGGAGTATGAGTGTGTCCCTGTGCACATGCCCAGATCCATACCTGTGCTGGGCATTGGAGGGGCTAAGGAAGGCAGGGCTGCAGGGAGTCTTGCTCCAAAACCTCTTCCCTGCCAGAATTGAGCCTGCCTAAATGCATAGGTAGCTTGTCTAGATCCAGAGCCAAGTGGTCATGGCCTCTGTGTTAACTGGGCAGGGGAGACAGAGAGGGGTGAGTGGGCACATCTATCAGGAAGACTAGGCTCCCTCAGGACTCCTTCTTCAATGTAGTGGGGGTCCTAGGTCCCCTGAGGCACTGATCCACTAGGTAGCCTGTGCTTGCCCTTCTTGCTGTTATTAACCCACTCTCGTTGAGTTCTCTGAAATTTTTAGCCATTTCTCATTGGACTGTTTCTCTGCTCACATGGGTGAGCCTGGGAAGGTTATACTGCAAAGCTTTTGTGTTTCATGCATCTCCCCTGGGTTCTGGGGCATCAGCCTACCTCCCTTTGTGGGCAAGGGCAGGACTACTTGTGTGGTCCTCCTTCACATTTCCACTGTGTGGCCTGGTGGGTTGGGACAGTCTTCACACCAAAGATGTCCTGACTCTGTCTCCTGCCCATTAGCCACCTTGCCCTCCAACAGCTTAGCCTGGGTGGGGGCTCCCTGGGATTGAGGAGGAGCAGGTGGGGAAGAGTCTTGTGCCATGGTCCCCCCATGCCCTTCCTGTGGGGGAGGAGTGACTCCCTCAGGGGTTGGTGATGGAGAGCACCTGGGTGTCTCTGGGCCTGGGGACAAAGCCCCAGGTGTCTGCAGCTCTTCCCTCATCTGTGATGGTGTGTTCGTCCAGCACTCATAGACTATTGTAAACTGTTGTTTTGTATGAGAAAAATTGTCTTTACTAAACTGATTTAATAGTTGAAAGTTTTTCATTCTCTTTCTTCTGGGGGGCTTAGGCCCTTGATCACTTAAAAGTCTCTGATCTTCATACCCATGGAGAGAGGGTTTTTGTGATGGGTGATAGAGTCCTATGCCCAAAGAGGGGAGAGAAAGGCCTCCTGGACCAGCAAATGGGAGTAGATCCTCATATTTGAGGGCCTGTGGCACATATCTAGTGTTGAAACAATGAGCCCTGACCTCCTTTGGAACCAGGGAAAGTGGGTAAGGGAGGATCCGGGGAGCCCTACCTGTTGGCCAAATACCGAATCAGGAGCCAAGTACCTTTCAGCTCATGATTATTCTGGGTAGCAACTCTCAGATGCTGGTACCCTTGGTCTGGAGGAATCTTTGAAATGGGGCCTGAGAGGAAGGGGTGGTATTAATTTGGTTCTAAGTCTGGGCTCCTCAGAATAGGTTGGTGTAGTACCTGAGAATTCCAGGAGAGGGTAGTAGGGGTCAGGCAGAAACAAAAATGACTTACCTTGAGTTAGAATAAACTTCAGTGACCCCAGCCTGTTCAAAGACCATGTGATGAACTGAGTATCCTTAGTAGAGCCTAGAGTAGAAGCTGGTTTGCTGACCCCACTGCTGCTGTTCCCAGTCACATGGAAAAATAGCAGGTTTGAGGAAAGGCAGAGCAGCATGGTTGGTTAACCCTGCATTATGAGTTTATCAATCCAGAATGGGAAGCACAGTCACACAGTCACACAGCTGTTGGTTTTGGCTAGAACTTGGGCCCCAGGATCTCTGGAGTGTTCCGTCCTCTACCAACTTTCTTCCTGGAGGACACACTTGCCTACTTCCTTGGCCATCAAAGAGATCGTGTCTCCACCACTCAACCTATGATGCAACTCCCATCACTCTAGAACCGTGTTCAGAATCATCCAACGGGTGCTTTTTCTTAGAATTCCAGTTTCCTTGGAATTGTACTTTTAAGGGTGTTAGAGTGATAAGGACCAAAGGGGAAGAAGGAAGGAATGCTGGAAGGGAGAGAGTTGTTGGAACCTTGCCACCTGACTGAGTTAGAGGCTCTATGAGGTTCCTGTTACTGCTGTGATCAACTTAGTGGTATAAAATACAGTTGTCACCAGTCAGTTTTGTGGGTGAGAAGCCTGGTGGAGCCTCACTGTGCTACAGACAGGGGCTCTGCAGGGCTACATTTTGTTTTGGAAGCTCAATTTCCTTTTTCAGACTCTAGAGATCTTAGCGTCCCTTGGCTTTTGATCCCCTTCTGTCTTTGAAGCCAGCCACCTTGCATCTCTCTGACCCTTGTCACCTATCTGACCCAGCGAGAAGGATTCTCCCAAAGACCAATGTGATAAAATTGGAACTACTCAGATAGCCCAGGGTAGTATCCCCATTGCTCATTGTTAACCTTGCTGCCATCTGCAAAGTTCTTTTTGCTATGGGAGATGACATATCCACTGGACCAGGAAGTAAGAGTGTGGATGTTTTGGGGGGCCCCTATTTTGCCACAGAGACCTATCTGTCTTGCAGCTTTTTCATGGTACCAATATTGATTGACCTTGTTTTTTGCTTCCTTCTGTGGATTAGAACAACTCTCAAGGAAGCCACAAAGAGTCTAGTCTGATTGGCTTCCCTCTTCCTCCATGGCCTTTGAGATTCCTATCTCTAACTTTTTTATAAAAGATGTATATTAAAAAAATGTGTGTATATGTGTATATGTGTGTATCTGTGAATGCATGCCAATGTCTGCTGGTGCCCACAGCGACCAGAAGAGGGTGTCAGGTTCCTCGAAGCTGGAGGTATAGGTGGTTGTGAGCCACTTGATTTGGGTGCTGTGAACTTAACTTGGGTCCTTCTGAAAGAGAAGGAAATGCTCTTAAGCACTGAGCTACCTCTCCAGCCCCCTGTCTCTCACTTAACTAGCGCCTGCATAACTCCCAGGTAGAATGACAAGAGAAAATTGTCCCTGAAGGCAAATGTTAGTTTTCATGGGTGTGAGGTTGGAGATGGTATGCTTCTCAAAGATACTAAGGGGAATTCATGACATTCTTGGGCCTTCTGCAAAGTACTCCTTCCTATTGAGTGAAGTGCTGGGTTTCTCCTGATCATAAGGCCTCTGAAGTAGCAAGCAGGTCTTCTTTATCTGTGAAAAGGTTCAGCCGTAGAGATAAACTCTTGTTCAAGATCACATTGCTGATTGGGTGACTGCAGGTTGGGTTTCCTGCTTCAAGGGTTAAAGTTCCTTCAAAATGTTCAGAAAGTCCTCTCCATTTAGGGAACACCGGCAGACTGGAGTCTGTCCACTGAGGTAATGCTAGGCTCTGGCTGTTGTGAGTAATTCATGAGATCACAGATTTAAATGCTTTCTGAAGTGCCAGGCCAGGGAGATTTTTGTTAACTAGAGGAGCCCCACCCCCAAGGGGCTGCCCTGCTGAGTAGGTCAGTGGTCTAGATTGGGCCTATGTCCTGCTCTTCCTGTACCTGCTGAGGGCTGGGGCCACATCTGCCATGGGGTAAGGAGACAGTTGACTTGGTAAACGGTTAATATGGGGTTTTCCTTTGACTGGGTTGGAGACCGAAAGGGCTGTGAATGACAAGTGAGCAGATGGGTGGGTCAGAGTGGGGAAGTGTAGGTGGAACCTGAGCAAGGTGTGAAAATTCAGTTATTCAAGGAAGGAGACTAGGGAAAGTGGTCAAGGCACAGGTACAACCATGAATGTAAACAAAACTCACTATGCCTGGTAGGTGGTGTTAGGAGTTGAATGGAGACACCGTTGAATAATACAGCCCCTTCCTGGCTCTGACTCAGGAAGCCTGCATTAAGGTGCCTAGTTGTCCTAGTGAGTCTGAGTTTGGGAACAGATGCTGTATAGAAAGGGGAGCAGGCTTCAACTTTAGGGTTATATTGATGATTTCATCTTCCTTCCATCGCCCTGCAATAAGTCAGGCCAGTGTGGAGAGGTTTCCCAGTATCTCACAGCATTCAGTATCCAGGGACTCTAGTACTCTGTGCTAAGGGAGAAAGGAAGTACAAAGCTAGACTCTGCCCTGAGGGAACTGTTCAGAGTCAGTGTCACAGCAAGAGACCTTATACTGCCTTTTCCTTCTCTCACATGCCTGGACACTTAGAAACGGCTACAGCCAGTGAGGGCTGTGCCATCGACTTCTAGATGCCCCCCACCCCCACCCCCAGCTTTTTCGAGCGCTAGGAGTCTTGAGACAGGTGAAACAAATAAGTGGAAGAAAGCTGACATTGGCGTCTGTCCTGGGTTTGGATAAAGCCTTTATATCCTCACTGTGGTTTAGGGTTGCCCTCATCCAGTAATGCCAGTATCAAGTGAGACAATGGGAGGTGGGGAGCAGTTTGTGAGTGTGCAAGTTAGTGTCATTTCCTTTGCTCCAGGCCCTGTTGCATGCTGGTCAGTGTAGGTGAAGAACACTACCTTTCGGTTCCACTTCTCCACAAACCTGCACTTTGTTAGGCTAGTGTTCAGGGCTGTGGAGAAATACAGATGAACTGGTTGGCAGTAGGTTCAGCTCTTGTAGCACTGGGCTCTGAGGAGTGGATGGATGTCACCAAGGCAGAAGACTGGAGAACCATGCTGTCTTTAGAGAAGCAGCTGCAGGTCAGAGCCCCAGGAGAGCATCCCAGTTGCCCTTGGGGCTGGCACTTGTAGGACCCTCTAATGGTAGGAATGTGGGAACAGTATGGTGTGGTGCTCTCACAGGCCTCTAGTCTGGCTTCTGCTGAGCCAGGCTCTTTTTTCCTTGAGGGCAAGCTCACCCTTCCAGTCCTTTCTGAACCACTGTTGGTTGGCCTTTTAGTTTGATCTTTTGCCCCTGTGGACTCCGCCCACAGAAAACTGGTTTGCTTCTTTCAGTGGGGTGCCCTCCTCATTTCTTTCCCACTCCAACCTGGATTCCCCTCATTCTCTAGTGTTTGCTTCCCTAAAACAAAATTTGGGAACATAAGTATGACAGGGATTTCCCCATTCATTTTTTTAGTTCATTAATTAAAAAAAAAAAGTCTTACAAAGTGATAACTTCAACTGAAATAATTTGTATTATGCATTTTGTGAATCACGGTGGAAAAAGATTGCTTTACATGAAGTCGGGACCTTTTTAGAAGAGTGGGGTGAGTGGACCCCAGGGGCTTTCTTGACTTTATTAAAAAGCAGTCTTCTGCACTGCATCCTCTGATCTCCGTACTTTACTTAGTAGATATGAAGCCTTGGGAGCCTTCCTGGGATAAAGGTAAGATTAATGTGCTTAAGTGTCTACCCTTTTCACACTAACATCTCAAACCTGGGTTTACCTTGGCATTTACGCCTACTCTGCAGAGAATTATTGCTATGAAGGTAAGTTAGGCTCAAAGCCTTTGACCTGGAAGTCTTTTGTCTATCAAGTTGTAGGATTTCAGGTGGAGTCTTGGGGGCAGTGGAACCTCTGCAATCATTTTTAGGGACCAGGATTGCTATGCAAATGCATTCATTTGCCTAACTTTCTTACTCTCAGGGACAGTAAAGTTTCTTACTCTCATCACACACTCCTGCCTGCTAGGATTTGCAAATGAAATACTGGAACTGACATTTTTCCTCTACCAGCCCCCTGAGGCCCCTTGTGGCCAGATACTAATTGATTGTGACCAAATACTAACTAGTCTCTGGCCTCACTTGATCCTAAGGGTGTCAGGTTCCAGGAGCTGTGGAGTATCCATAAAAGCTATGCAAGTGAGCACCTGTCTGGGACTCTGGCCACAGCCTAAGGCAGGCCACTCACTATTCTTGAGTCCATAGGAAATGTCATCTTGCTCCTTGCTCAGGCCTGGCAGCTGTGGGTCCCTGGTTCCTCGAACAGTTCAAATCCCTTGGGGTAAGCAGGCCTCAAGTTTCAGAGTAAGATGATTTTCTGAGCCTCACCTGCCGATTTGTAAACCTGTGGTTCTGTATTCACCAGTCAAAGGTTTACTTTTCAAAGAAACCATGACCTCCTCTAGGGTTGAGGCCTAGACCTTGGGT